TTTTTTTTTTTTTTTTAATTCTTTTTAGCTTGCTTCCACTTGTGCAGAAAAAATGTTTATGTTAAAAAAATGTTTATTTTTGTCGTCCACCTAACGTTTCTTCCTCTTTTGTAAAAAGTATATACATATATATATTTTTTTTTGGGTACGCCCATGTAAAAATGAATATGTTTGCTTGTGCAGTTCTTCACTGAAGTATATTTAGTGGATAGCGTTTAGCAGATCAGCGATAACGAGGTTTGAGAATACTGGACGCAGTGGCGGCATAAGTATTGTATACGTATGTGCTGCTCATACGCTGCTTACGTACCCTTGTACACGTACACGCTACGTAGTGCGCCGAATGCGTACACATACATAGCACGTATCATAAGTGTACTCGTGCGCCGGGCGCAGCTCCAAACCCGTGGTTGCGCTGAAAATAATTTCGCTGTGGGATAAATTTTGTGTGCCTATGGTGTGGGTGTTCCCCTTTTAACGCGGGCCACTCTACTGCGGGGTTGCGTGTGAACACGGGGGCCTCGTTGAACAGTCGAGTTCGTTTAAAGGGCAAAAAAAAAAAAAAAAGGGGGGGGAGAAAAACATATGTTTGTAGAAAAGTGTACGTATTCTCCAACGCACGCTCCCTTATGCACTCCTGCTTATGTACAACCGTCCGTAACCCCCAGAGCAATCATGTGATGAACATGCAGCATTTACTACATATATTTTTTTTTCCCTGACGACGTTAAGGGAAAAATAGGACAATTGAAAGGGAAGCTTAAAAATGTAGGTAAAACGACCGCTACGAGAACCGCAAGCATGTGAGCACATGTGTATTGTCACGAATGCAGTTAGGGGAGCAAGAAGCAAGCGACCTTCTGCGATATTCAGCTCTGTTATGTGCAGGGGAAAATCATGCCTTATGCTGAAACGTAACTGCCATTATGTGGTACATAAGCAAAAAAAAAAAAAAAGAATGCTCACATAGGGGTGTATGTTCGTACAATCTCAATAAACCACGACGGCGGGAGAGATGTCGTTCGAAACTGCCCTCCTTTGCAGTGAAGTTATACGTACATATGTGCTATAAAAGGTAAACACACCAAACGATCGTATGGCATGCAAAGAAAAAAAAAAAAAACTCCAACAAAGAGGAGAAAAAAAAAAAAAACACAAAGCATCATTTCGAGCTCTTATGTCTACCCCCTTTCCGTTACGCCTCCTCACCACGTACAGCGCATTTGAAAAAGTTTCATTTAATTTTTGCAAATCCGCGAGAGTGCTCTTCTACAAGCGGAGGTGATATGAAAAGCGCGACACAGAGTCTTTCCCTGGCCACGACAAAAATTTACACACGCAGGGGGGCACATACCACCATATGTACAAATCAACGTATGTTCATTTTTTACGCACATTCGTGTGGGGGCCTCTTCTTTTTTTTTTTTTTTTACTGAATTTTCCGTGTCCTGTGGAGCAGGGACTTTGTCCTCCCGTTCATTTTGTAAAGCCCTTTTGGGTAGCCAAAATGACGTAAAAAATGTATGCAAAATGGAAAAAAAAAAAAAAGCCACAACAAGCAAAATTTACCTGAACAGGGCAGGTGTTAAATAATATTCCATTTTTCAAGGAAAAAAGTGGACAAAAATTTTTTCCCTTTTGCGAAGTGTAGGTGCCATGAAGGGTGTGTAAGAACAAAAGGAAATCCCATTTTTAGGGTGTCCTCTTTAAAATCATTTTTTTTCTTTTTGTCCATTTTATGTGTCATCATACGAGCTTTAAAATTGAAAGTTCATCACACGGTCATGCGTTTATAATATACGTGTATTACGCAATGCTGGCACGGGTTTACTGATGTGTCCTCTTGGCATCCATTTTTTTTTTTTTTTTTTTTTGTGGAAAAATAAATTATTCGATTCTACATGTATGGATTTCCTCGCGCACATATTCCCTTCCCTGCACGGAAAGGTTGACATGAAAATTGAAGTGCCGATAATGTGCATCTTCGCAAATTCACTTGTGCGGAATATGATCAAGCACCACTGGTTAAGGACCACACTCACGTTTTATCTCTAAAAGGTAGTAAAGCATAACATGTGTACATTTTTTCCAAAGTTAATTATCCACATTTTTTCCTTTTGTACTAAAAAGAAATGAAATAATATAGCGAATATTCAAAGTAGGAAAAAAAAAAAAAAAAAAAAA